GGGTTATTTTTTGGTGAAGTAAGAAACTTTTTTAGAAAGATGTGAGGGGAGAGAAAGGAAGAAGTACATTTTGAGAGAAAACACAGGCTCTTCCAGAGCAAGCAAAGAAAGAGACAAGCAAGCAAGCTGTATGTTCAAGGGAGAACAAGGACTTGAAGAGCAAGCCCCACACACATGTCTTTTTTTTTTTTGGCGGGGAGGTCATACCCAACAATGCTCACGTGTTACTCCTGGCTCTGCACTCAGGAATTACTCCTTGTGGTGCTCAGGGGACCATATGGGATGCCAGGAATTGAACCTGGGTCAGCCGAGTGCAAGGCAAACTCTCTCCCCTCTGTACTATTGCTCTGACCCCACACATGTGCCTTTTAAGAATCTTTTAAGACTGCTTCTATTTTTATCTTCTGGTCTTCACTTAATATGATACCAGAAAAACTTATTTGTTTTTATGTAGGCATCACAATTATTTTTAAGCTGTACATAATATACTGTCAACTCAAAATTGTGATATCTTAAATCTTTCTATCATGTCAAACACTTGCCCTTTTTCATGTTTGGATTCTTGTGGCAGTACTGCTTAAACATTTATGTCCACATAACTGTTTGCCTCTATAGAATTGCATCCTTAGGAAGCATCACCAAACAAACACTGTCCTCTCATTGTTCATCAATTTGTTTGAGCAGGCCCAGTAACATCTCCATTTTGAGACTTTGTTGTTACTGTGTTTGGCATATTGAATATGTCACGGGGAGCTTGCCAGGCTTTGCCGTGCGGGCGAGATACTCTTGGTAGCTTGCCGGGCTCTCCAAGAAGGCGGAGGAATTGAACCCAGCTCAGCCAGGCTGGCTGAGCACAAGGCAAATGCCCTACCATGGAAGCATCACCAGGAGTGGGATTTTTTTTTTTTAGCCAAAGGTTATGAATATTTTTCTATGTCTTAGGACACGTAGCTTTTACTGACTTCTGAAAGGGCTGTCTCAGTTTACAGTGCCATATTCCAGTGATAAATAAATCTTGGTACAGCCTTGCGAGCATTAATTTTACCCTTTTTAAAGTGTTGCAAATTTCCCAGATATAAAATAGTAATGCTTTGAAATTACTTTGATACCCATCTCTCTTTTCAAAACTTAATTTGTTTTTCTCAATCCAAGTGATACAGAGGAGTGCTGACAGCCAGACTAAACCAGCCTCCTTACCTAGCCACTTTTAACTGGTTTGGCTCTTGTGTTAACTTAAGATATACATTTAGCTGCTAGGCCATGGTTTGATTTGGTTTTTGTTCAGTTCCAAAGAAGTTTATATTTGAACTCTAAGCTTTTTCCCCCCCTTTATTTAAACACCATGGGCTGGAGTGATAGCACAGCGGGTAGGGCGTTTGCCTTGCATGCCGCCGACCTGGCCGACCTGAGTTCGATTCCTTTTGCCCCTCTCGGAGATCCTGGCAAGTTACCGAGAGTATCTCGCCTGCACGGCAAAGCCTGGCAAGCTACCCATGACATATTCGATACACCAAACACAGTAACAACAAGTCTCACAATTGAGACGTTACTGGGTCCACTCGAGCAAATCGATGAATAACAGGAGGACAGAGCTACAGTGCTATTTAAACACCATAGTTTACAAAGTTCTTCATAATACAGTTACAAGCATTCAATGTGCCAACACCAATCCCACCACCCGTGTGATCTTCCGTCCACCATTGTCCCCATTTTCCCAACCACCCCCCAAACCTGCTACCCTTTGTAGACAGAAAATAATTTATCTTATATTGCTTATTACAACAAAATGGCTAATGAAATTATCAAAAAATACCTCAGTAAAAGGAAATGTGTGAAAATTGTTACATCTCACCACAGGGTCATTAAGTCCTTGTCTTAGGGTTCTAGTCTTGTGGTAGAACTGCCTACCAGTCCTATTTTAGGACCCTTCTCACGGCCTGGTTGACTTTCCCAAGGACATAGGACCTAGTACCAGGCATCACCCTTTTTCCATTTGTTTTACCACAAAAGTTTACAGGTGGCATTGGCCCTGTGGAGCAGATCTAGAGCCACTGACTGTCCAGCAGAACCACGTGAACTGTCACCATCAAAACCCTTTGCTGACCAAACACAGGAATGCAGCAACCCAGCCCCAAAGAAGCGGAGTTGCATCAAGTACAAAATACAGGATAAAAGTGTTACTGAGTATTTCACTCAGAGGACTCCAGGTGCCTTCTATCACGTGGATCTTAGCGCGGGCACCTTCAGAAAAGTTTCTTCCTGCCACATGTAAAACTGAGGGGTACAAATTGATCTTGCGAGGTGGTCAGGGCCAAGGACTTTCTGTCCTCCTACCTGCCACCTCGAGGCTTGGCCTTACCTGTGTGTTCTAGGATGGGCTTCTCCAACCTCCCATGCCTGTACCCCTGCACCTGTCCTGCATGCTTCTCCACAGTCCAGTAATTATAACCAAAGCAATGGTCCCATGATTTTCCACTTTTCTATACCCATGGGCCAACACCTATCTGTGGAAGAGTGGCTTAGAACCACTGTTCTAAGATGTGCCACGCTTCACTGGACATTGCAGTAAATAGTCAGGAAACAAAAGGAATCCCTTCCCTTTGCTCTTCTGGACATAACCATGCTGCAAAGGAGACTGAGTAGTGGGGTCATTTGCTGTGTATCTAGGGGCACAACCACACATTCTCCTGTTGAATCAGAAAGAGAGGTCAACTGGAAGTTGGCCCACAAGCCATTTCTGTGGACTGTCTGCTTGTGTATCTGTGTTCCATTCCTTCACTGTGTCTATATGCTCCCCAGTTCTAAAAATTCTCAGTTTTACTCCAATTCCACTCCCTTCATCCTAATCTCAATATGTCGTGTTCCTGGATTTGTAGCTGTACACCTCTTCTTCGAGGAAGGACGAGGGATCAGAAATATATGTTGCCACTTTGAGAAGTGTCAGCATTTTGATGGCTTGGACAGCAGGTGCCCCCCCTCCAGCCGTGAGACGGTGGGCAGTGATGGGGGCAGATCTCGGCATTTCATAAAGCCCCATCACACTCTCTCCTGTGCTTCCTGGCCCCCCAGGGGAAAGATGAGAGCACATTTAGATGCCATACTTATTGAGCTCTACATTTGTTTTTAATTTTTATTAGTGAGACACCATGAGGTACAGTTGTAGACTTACAAATTTTGTGCTTGGGTTTCAATTATACAATGATCAAATACCCATCCCTCCACCAGTGCCCATTCTCTACCACCACAGATCCCACTATCCCTCCCACCCTCCATTCCCCCCCATCCCCCCCACTCCACCTTGCCTCTGTGGCAGGGCATTCCCTTTTGTTCTCTCTCTCCTTTTGGGTGTTGTGGTTTGCAAAAGAGGCATTGAGTGGCAATCATGTTTGGTCTATAGTCTACTTTCAGCATGCTTCTCCCATCCTGGGAGGATCCTCCCAACACCCTTTATTTGGTGCTCCTTTCTCTATCTGAGCTCCCTTTTCCCCTAGCATGGGTGGCTGGTCTCCAAGCCTGGGAGCAAACCTCCTGGTACTAATCTCAGCCACTCTTGGGTGTTAGTCTCCTATTTTGTTACTTTATGTTCCCCAGATGAATGCAATCTTTCTATGTCTATCCCTCTCTTTCTGACTCATTTCACTTAATATGATACTTTCCATGTAGTGCCACTTGAAAAATAAATTCTATCTCCTAGAACTGTTTTAACTTTGGGGTTTTGTAAAACATAATCTTAGACCATTGTAAAGTCTTAAAACATGGAGGTATAAATGCTAAGAGTTCATAAGTTTTAGCTGTTCCTTATTTTGCAGTTAGCTCAAATAAGCTTATTGGTTATAATCCTTCAATTCTTTTTCCTTTGGAACTTTATTTGGCTATCTTGACTTTATGTGGTCTTGGGTTGATCCTTATCAGTAAAGATTCATGTATAAATGGTTTCTCCCCCTGTTCCCCACCCACCCCCACAGTTGTAACAAGCTTCGCTTATGATAACACAATGCTTGAATAATTCCAAATTAAGTGCTTTATTATGGTCACATATATAAAATGATTTGCTTGAATAAAATGAATGAGGTAAACTGCAGTTTATTTTATTTATGTGACCATAATAAAACCATCTACATAACCTCCTATTTTTCCTGAAGTTCACCTGTTTCCTTTTTTTTTTGTTTTTGTTCTTTTTTTTTCATTTGCCCTATAGTCTTTGAGTTTCTAAGTCTTCCTACATTTTTTCTGCTAGCTTTTTAAAACTCTTCTTACAGTTTTCTCTACATGCCAACCTGTCAAGAAATCTATCCACTCCCTTATTTTCCTAAAGATACTTCCTGCAGCCAGGGGTCCTGCTCTATCTGGACCTGGGGCCTCAGGCCTCTGTTTCAAGTCTCGTCCTCCCACTTCCTGTCCCGGGATTGTCCTCTTCCACTCTCCTTTGTGCATCCGCCACCTCCTGCCCCGCCTGTCTGCCTCTCTGTATTACCCCTTAATTTTGCTGGAACATATCCTTCTGTATTGCCTAAGAAGGGGTGCATGGGAAAGAAGGGTTTTGTTTGTGTATGATCTAAGATTTGTTCATTCATCTTCTTGCCCATCCCTTTTCCCCTTCAAGTTGCTATGACTTTTGAGCTTCAGATGTTGCCTTGTTTTCACCAAAGACGTTCGTTCATGCCTCTCACTCTTGTATTTATATGAGTTGAATTACAGTGGGGAAAGGAGTCTCTTTTCCCCACCATGAGAAAGTTATAATGCCACTTTCACTCCTTTGGTGATGAGCATTTTCCGCGTATATGTTTCATCTTTGATTTTCCGCCGGTGTGAATTATCTATTAAAACCATCAAAGAACAAAATTTTCCCGACAATTAGCACATGTCACCAAAGTTCTTTCCAAGGCTTCAGGTGTTTGTTTGTTTGTTTGTTTGTTTTTTCTCCCTGGTCTCCTTCAAGATTCCGGTGGCGTCAGCATCCCAGCTGACTGGTGTCCACAGTGAGTTGCTCTCATTTTCAGATTGCCTCACGCCCGTGATAGCTGTGAACATGCTCACCCAGCAGGAAGTTCCTGTCGTTGTCTTGGCCAAAGCTGACTTTGCGGGCTCTCTGGATTCAAAAATAGGTGAGTAGCTGTTGAGATATAATCAGGATAATATCTCCCCCAGGCCTTAAGGTTGAAATCCTAGCCTGGTGCTCTCAAGTGAAAGAGGTGGCCGTTGATCCATGATTTGTTTTACTTCCTCGCAGAAATGAAAGCCCTTTCCTCTAATCGTTCTTTAGTTAAGCAATGCATTTTGAAATCATTCCAAGTGTATTGCACCTGCACCTGGCTGGATGCTACTGAGAAAGAAAGAAAGAAAGAAAGAAAGAAAGAAAGAAAGAAAGAAAGAAAGAAAGAAAGAAAGAAAGAGAGAGAGAGAGAGAGAGAGAAAGGAAGGAAGGAAGGAAGGAAGGAAGGAAGGAAGGAAGGAAGGAAGGAAGGAAGGAAGAAAGGAAGGAAGGAAGGAAGAAATGTCTGGCCTACAGATCTCGCCTATAGCGCTTAGAGAGTGAGAATTATACATACAGTGTGGGGAACAATAAGACTCGGATGAAAATCCAATTTCAGAATTCATTGAGCCAATAGCAGCTGCTGGGTTGGGGGGATTCAAAGCACAGATGATGGTCGTGGGCCGGGGTTTTGTGAAGGCTCTGTGGAGGAGGTGAACTGGAGCAATTCAGGAGAAGGATTGGAAACAGCAGTGAAATTGAAAGTCTATTAGAACTGTAAATGGGATACCTGAGGCGGCCTTCCTCATTCCTGAGTGTTCTCAGCGCTCAGTTATCGCCTTACAGGAGGATTGTGGGCCTGAGAGCAGGGTGACTGTCCTGTCCCAGGCCCGCTCTCAGGCGGGGCCCCATGGCTCCCCTTCCTGGATTCCTATCCCAGCCAGTCTCCAGAGCACCCAGACCCCTGCAGAGAAAGCTGTTTTCACACTCTTAGTTCCTACTACATAGAAGAAATCGCATTTCTGGTCAAAATCGTGTTTTCCTTCACAATTCCCACTCAGTTTTTCATCGAGTAATGTGAAGAAACATCAAAACAGAAAACTCTTATTAGCCATTCGGCTCATTCTCTTCTTGTGACCATTTACACGTCAACAACGTGTTGCTTCAAGGAAATGATTCCTGCTTTTGTGCATATTTTATAATTAGTGAAATTCATTAGTACATCCAGCTGAGATACTAAAGGAAGCACTTATTAAAACAGCTTTTCCTTTCATTTTTCTTCTTCATGTTTTTGGTCAGAGTTAAAGATGCAATATTGAGAGTTCTGAAGGGAGAGAAAATATGCCTGGAGGGGGGGTTATGCATTGAAACTTTTTTTCCCCCGCTTATCTTGCTTTTCCACAGCAACATAATCAGCATTGCCTCTTGTCCTTCAAGAAAACAGAAACAAAAGTCGGGGCTGGAATGATAGTACGCGTGTAGGGCATTTGTCTTGCACACGGCCAACCGGGGTTCAATTCCCAGCATCCCATATGATCCCACGAGCACTGCCAGGAGTGATTCCTGAGTGCAGAAACGGGAGTAACCCCTGAGCATTGCCGGGTGTGACCCAAAAAGAAAAAAGAAAAAAAGGAAACACCACTCTCCCTAAATGCCCAGTATTGGCCAGATAGTGACAAAAAGCTCCCAAAATTCTAAGTTTTCATTTAGGGCACTCCAAGAGAAGGAACAAACCTGAGAGATACCAAAGAGCTGATAGGAGTACAGTAACGTCGCTGTAAACTGTTGTTTTTACCACGTGTGTTCTCCACCTTCCCAGTAAATGTAGTCTAGGCTTACCATTTCTCTAACTGAAAATAGTCTCCTGTAAGGAGCTAACTGTCAGGCTGCCCATTTTTCTGTGATATGGCCATTTGAATGGGAGATGCTTCATGTCTCATCCCCTCTGAATAGGAATCCCCAGTACCAGCGCAGAAGACACCGCCTTAGCCCAAACCCTGGGCCTATCCTACTCAGAAGTCATTGAAACATCACCTGATGGCACAGAGAGACTGCGTGACTCTGCTGAGGTGGGTGCCCCATGGGTGAGCCAAAAAGTCTTTAAAAAAAAATAATTTTCTTGCCTTCTCCCCCTCACTTTTATGTGTCATTGTTGTCTCTGTTGTGAGGGTACCAATTGTAACCTGCCACTCAACTCATCCCATCGCCTGCCAGTCATATAGCCTTGTTTCTTTCTAGTTCCTTTTTTTTCTTTCCCGTTTTTATTGATGAACCGTGATTTTTCAAGACATCTAATGCAAATTCCATGCATATGGAGTTCCGACATCTACCACCAGAGTGTCCGCTTGCTTTGCTTGGGGCTGACTCAAGTTCAGTCCTCGGCACCCAGTCAGTGCAGGAGGATCCCTGAATGCAGAGCCAGGAGTAAGCCCTGAGCAGTGCTGCATGTGGCCCAGAACCAAAACAACACACAGGTCCCCAGGGGTCCTGCCACTGCTGCCGATCACCAGGGCCTACACTGGAAGACTTCGTCACCCAGTTCACCCGCGGGGCTCCTGTTGCTTCTTAGAAGCGGTGGAAGCTTCCAGCCCACCCACATCTAACAATAGGCCCGTGTGGTTTCACAGACACAATGAACTGTGTGGACTCTGGTGGAGAACAAACCCTTTGTCTTAAACCTGGCTGCGCTTTGCAAGCAACTAGGAAGTTCTGAAAAACTCAGATTCCCGAGTCCCACCTCATACCTTCAGATTGAATAACCATTTATGGGCCTCGGACAGAACATAGAAAGTGTCCGGGGAGTCTTGTGTTCAACAAAGTCTGGGAACTACTGGCTAGCTGAGTGTCCACCCTCTCTGCTGTGTCTCCGAGATGCTTAACAGCATCTTAATCTCCTTGGGTGATCCTGGCTCAGTGACATCTCACACCCAGGTTTCAGGCTTGGCAGTACTTGACTCTAGGGTGATGTGTAAGGAAATAGTCAGACTTTTCCCTTTTTCTCACCTCATGTTTGTACTTTCATTTCATAAATTATATCCCTAGACATGAATCATGCTCCAAAATATCGACTCTTTGGGGCTGGAGAGATAGTACAGCATGTTGGGTGCTTGTCTTGCATGCCACTGACCCTGGTTTGAACCCTGGCATCCCATATGGTGCCCCAAGCACCGCCAGGAGTAATTCCTGAGTGCAGAACTGGGAGTAACCCCTGAACATCACTGGGTGTGGTCCCCAAAACAAAAATAAAATGAAAGATTGATCTTTCTTTTAGACCTTATTTCAGCGAACTCTTTGGATGTGCAGAGCCGAACTCTTAAAGTCAAGGAGCGATAGCACAGCGGTAGGGCGTTTGCCTTACAAGCGGCCAACATGGCCGACCCAAGTTCGATTCCTCCGCCCCTCTCGGAGAGCCTGGCAAGCTACCGAGAGTATCTCACCCACACGGCAGAGCCTGGCAAGCTCCCCGTGACGTACTCGATATGCCAAACACAGTAACAACAAGTCTCATGATGGAGACGTTACTGGGCCCGCTCGAGCAAATTGATGAACAACAGGAGGACCGTGCTTACCGTTACTTTCTTCCTTACTCAACTCAGTCATCAAATCCATCCAGTCCTATTGCTTTTGGGAGGAAGGTGGCTCAGAAAGTCACATGTGACCCCACCCAGACCCTGGTGCAGAAGGAATGATTCTCTCCCCACTCTCAGTTCACAGGCATGGAGCGGCCCGATGCCTTTCTGGCCCTGACTCAGTTGGCCCGCCAGAAGAGAGTGGGTGGAGAGTTGACGAGCGACAAGCTGAAGGATTGGCTGATCTCACGCCAGCGCTACTGGGGCACGCCCATCCCCATGGTGCACTGCCCAGCCTGCGGCCCCCTGCCAGTGCCCATCGAAGACTTGCCCGTGACCCTGCCCCGCATCTCTTCTTTCACCGGCAAGGGAGGCTCACCGCTGGCCGCAGCTTCCGAGTGGGTGCACTGCGCCTGCCCCCGGTAAGACCCCATCCTCTGGCCAGCCCCCAGCGTGCATTTCACACACCGTCTCGTCTCCGGCGGCTGCTTCCCCCAGGATTCCTGCCCAGCTGGGGTCTGGAAGGACGGTGTGGGTCTCTTGGGACCTTAGAGAGAAGATGCTAGAATTTTGCTCAGACCCTGGGAAGGACGCCCACTCCTCTTCCCAACCCAGTTGGAAGCAGCCCTTCTTTTAACCTCTTCCTCTGAAACATCTGCTCCAGCTGTTTCCATCCAGCTTTGCCTGAGGCCACTTCCTTCTGTGTTGCTCAGCAGAGAGCTGGTCGGGATGAGAGAGCATCCTCCCACTCCACTGCCGCTGCTGCACTTTTAGAGCGTGGTGGCAGCCGGGGTCCCCCCACCAGGCATGACAGAGAGGGTGGGTATGCAGGGCTTCCCTTCTGGACCCCCAGGAGCACCTCACTTCCTTTCTTCTCCTGTTGGGAATGGGATTGCATGCTGCCTCAACTCCCTGTCATGTCGCCAGTGTGGTTTTCTATCCTACCTGCCGATTGAGCAAAGAAATAACACATCCCAAGCCCCAGTATCTTCCTTCTATAAAGAAGCCATTTCCCTCTGCTTTAAAGGTCACGATGAGGATGTTTTCCAAATAGTTCACAGGCCAGAGATAATCAGGACCCCATAAGAGCCCCCCGAGCCCTGCCAGGAGTGATCCCTGAGTGCAGAACCAGGAGTAAGCCCTGAGCACTGCTGGGTGTGGCCCCAAAACTGGACGATTGTAAGTGGCCCCCTGGGAGGCCCAGATCTGGGGTATCTACATGGTCTGCTCGGCCATTTCTATTTATAAGCAGAGCTTAGTGGTTTCTTTCGCAGTATTTGTAGAGTCTATATCAGCTACTTCATAGATGCAAGACAAACATATGCAGACCTTCTGTGAGTGGTTTTCTCCAGAGTAGTTTTTATGAGTCCTTACCCATTTCAGCATTTGGGAGTGAGTGGGCCAACCACAGCAGTGCTCAGGGGCTACGACCAGCTCTGTGCTCAGGGATTGCTCCTGGTGGTGCTTGGTGGGGGCGGGGATAGCAGGGTGTGCCAGGGATCAGGCCTCGCCCATGCAGAGCACACACTCAGCCCTTTAAGCTCTCCCCAAGCCTTCTCCTTCTTGTGTTAAGTTTAAAACCGACTCAAACACCAGCACGCTGGCTAAATTAGCTACAGGCACATCAGTTCCTCCCAGGGGATTGTGATTCCCCCCTCAAGTTCTCAGAATCTCCAACACTTCACTGCCAAGAGCCACAGTCAGAGAGGCGGTGGCTCCAGTGGAGTAAGAACCTGGGGCTGAGCTGCTTCCTCCTGCCGGGGCCTTTCGCTGCTCATGGTTAATAGCTATTAACAGGGATGGCAGTTACTGGCTATTGATAAAGCTGCAAATAGCCCATGTTGCCCATCCACTAGAGGCAGAGGTCTTGGGGAGCCTCCAGCTTGCCCTGTCAGATCATGGGCCCACCACCCTGGGGCCATGCTTGAGAACTTGGCCCCTGTAGAACCTAACCCCCTCCCCACACACACACCCTGGCATGGGGGTTCCTTTTCTCCTCAGCCCCTCTCCCCAGGGATTTCACTTCCTGGGGTCTCCGCACCTTTTGTCCTTAGGCAGGGGGCTTCTGACTTGTAGTGTTTGTGCATTTCATGGTAGAACTCCTCTTCTGCCAGGTGGATGGTAGACTCTCAGCATGAGTTCACGTGGGAAGCGACACTGACAGTGGATACTCCCAAACTGGGATCCGTTAGCTCTGGAAACCCTGCAGGCTTCCGGGGTGATTTCACTTTCTAAGGTCACCCCAATGGGACCCCTAATCCAAGTTCACCTTTTAGCACAGCGCAGCATTCGCTGCATTTGGGTTTTCATTGTAAAGCAGATACTAGCTGAAGGCAGTCTTGACATGCCTGAAATAGAAGTTCTTGTGCCAAAGAGACTCTTTGTCTTGTAAGGTAGTTAGATTTTTCACCACTTGCTTAAAATTCAGAGAAGGGGAGAGGATTTTTAATTGTTCAAGATTGAATTTTTTTTTTTTAATTTTGGAAATGTCTTTAAAACATCATGTTCTGAACAACCTGAAGAGAACTCTCCGTGGATTGTCGTTTCCTGATCGGTGGCATTGTTCTCCTGACATTGTAAATTCATGCTAATTGTCATCGCTTTCTCAAAAGCTGGTGGGAAAATTGCATTAAAGTTTAAATAGAAACCCATGGATGCGCCTCTCTTCCTTAGGTGCAGAGGAGCAGCCAAGAGAGAGACAGACACCATGGATACCTTTGTTGACTCAGCATGGTACTACTTCAGATACAGCGACCCTCAGAATACTCAGAGGTAAGGTGCCTGCTGGTGAGTTCTTTAAGTCCTTGGCACTGTGGAGCCTCCCAGCCAGACACAATGCAGGGAATAGATGTGCACGAGATTTTCTGGGGGAGCTTGCCTTGGAGGAGTCAAAGGTTCCAAAGCAGGACGCCTGGCTGAATCCTGTGAGCAGGGAAAGAGTCTTGGGGAGGAGGCATCCAGAACACAGGTACCTTTGGGAAAGGGTAAGCGTGCTGCAAGGAAGATGGAACAACCCCTCCGGCCAGACAGGCGCACCCTGCACCTGTCCCCTCCTCTCTGGGAGAACTCGGGATACAAGGACACAGAGGATGCGAAAATGCCACTACTGGGGTCCCACAAACAGCTCTGCTTCTTGAAACAGGCATTCATATGGTTGGACATGAAACTATTAAACCAGTCACAGGGCCTAGAAAGACAGTCTAGCAGGTAAAAAGCACTTGCAACTGTACCTCATGAAATCTCACTATTAAAAAAAAATTTTTTTAATAAAATAAATAAATAAAAAGCACTTGCCTTGCATGAAGCTGACCCGGGTTCAATCCGCAGCACCACCAGGAGTGATTGATTCCCTGAGTGCAGAGTCAGGAGTAAGCCCTGAGCACTGCTGAGTGTACTCCCTACCCCCCCAAAAAAATAAATAAAAATAAAAATAAAAGCAGCAAGAAACCAGGTTCCTCACAGGCAAGTAAGTGCCAGATTCAAGGGAAATGAAACCCTGCAACGGGAAGTGTTGCAATAATGCCCTCGGCGGCCCTGTGCCGAGCGCCGGTTCTGTGAGTGGAAAGCTCTCCTGCTTTTTACTTAATTGAAAATCCTGGTGGCGCGCCAATGTCCCGGGAGGGGAGAGAGAGAGTGCTCAGAAGCTGTACCGCCGAGCACACACAGCAAGTAGATCATTCCTCACGCCGATCAAGCAACCGACTGTTAAACACGCTTTAAATAATGACCAGAAGAAAACAAATGACAGGCCTTTCAGTTCTCTGGTCTTTCAGCTCTTTGCCTGTGTTTCTTTGGCAAAACTAAATCGAAGGGATGTGGATCAGTGGCACCTTGTGCGTCTCGTTTGAGGGAGACCTGGGCTAGTCCCTGGCACAGCAAACAAAGGATATTCTCTGGGGTCAGGGAGATGGCGTGAGCGCTGGACACGTGCTTAAATGCAGGGTCTTCAGGTTCCATCCCAAGCCCCGCCCTGGATGTACTAAGCTCTGCCTAGTGGGGCCCCCAAGCCTAAGGAGTTGAGAAATAAGAGTGAGAGAGCCACTGGCAGGTAGGTAGGGAGCATGGCAGAACACAGGGAAAACAGAGCTGGCAGCCTGTTTTCCGGCTTCTCGTCAGACAGAGAGCTGTTACTCTGAAATGAGGAGAGCTTACAAGAAAATGCCCCTTTCCTTCATTGGGTGTGAGGGAGCATATCTCCCAACCCTGACCAGAATCACACTGTGGAGCACTGTGATTTTGTGCTTCAAGCTGCCAGGCCCCGAAATAAGCAAGATCCTGAGTGAGCAGTCGCTGCCAAGGGCAGAAAGGAGGGGCTGGGAGGCACTCAAAGGCCCTGCAAACCCACAGATGGGTCCTCCTTCTGGGTTTTTCTAGAAAGTATGTTGGGTGCTTCCCATTTAATAGTGGCCAAGAAATGCAAGAGGAATCAGACTTCCTGTCCTTCAGAATGCTGTAAAAGAAAGCAAGGCTAGGGGTTCCATTCCAGGGGGTGATCTTTGGTGAGATATCCAGAGACTTCCAATTAGGCAATTTCAGTCAGCACTTGATCCTTTGAAAAAAGACAGACAGACAGACAGACAGACAGACACACACACACACACACACACACACACACACACACACACACACATATTGCACATGCAGACACACATCCCAGAAGAGTCCCAGCTGAAAAATGAAGGTTTATCACTATACCATCACTATACTATATCGCTGGAGCGATAGCACAGCGGGTAGGGCGTCTGCCTTGCACGCAGGCCACATGGCCTACCCGAGTTCGATTCCTCCGCCCCTCTCGGAGAGCCCGGCAAGCTACCGAGAGTATTCGATATGCCAGACACAGTAACAACAAAGTCTCCAATGGAGACGTTACTGGGCCCGCTCGAGCAAATCGATGATCAATGGGAGGGCCTTTCCTTACTTACTTACTTATCACTATACCAAAAGATGCATCAGGGGTCTAGGAAGCTCATGGGGAGTTGAATCCCCAGAGCCACAAATGCAGAGACAGTCCTGCCCACACCACTATCTGGGGTTGCTGCCATAATATAGTCACTTGCTGTATACATTTTAAGGCTGTTTTTAAGCTGGAATCCACGTGTACTCAGTGGATGAGTACATGCCTCGGACATGTGAGGTCCAGTGTCTAGCACCACCAAAAAATAATAATGAGAAGATTGAATTGTTTGTTTGCTTTTCAAACAAGCGTTTTGGGGTCAGGGAGATGGTTCAGACAGCTCGAGCACATGCTTGGCTTGCAGGAGTCCAGAGTTTGATGCCCACCCAGCATCGCACGGTGTCTTGAGCACTACCAGTGTCGCCCCAAAGGCAAACAAACCCCCTACCAAAAAAAGAACGTTTTATGTCTACCTGTTAATGCCCGTTCTAAATGTCATGTTGCCCTCTGTTGGTCAGAACAGAAAAAAGCTCCCAGTTGCCTAATCAAATTTAAAATTAAAATGTGTCTAGGTCTATTCAGCTATGCCTCGTGCTGAAATTACTTATTATTTTTCTGGTTTGTTTACCTCAGGTTCTCATTTTACATGAAAGCCACATGTATTAAACTTGTGATTTAGCGGCATTTTACAGATAGTGTTTATAAATCTCACAAATCAACATTGATCTTTTGTTCCTTCTCTATTTTAAACATAAAAAAAAGCTCTATTTTTCTACGATGTATCTTCTTTCTGATGTGTGCACATGCGCCTGTCTAGAGTGTGCAGCTGTAGCAGGGCACGGTTTTGAAATGACCCTCCCTCTTTCTCTCAGCCCTTTTAGCACAGCTCTGGCAGATTACTGGATGCCTGTGGATTTGTACATCGGAGGCAAAGAACATGCTGTTATGCACTTGTTCTATGCAAGATTCTTTAGTCATTTTTGCCACGAGCAAAAGATGGTCAAGCACAGGTAAGCATTTACAGCTTTGCAGGAGAACTCCGTTCCACCCACCAGCCGTTGGCATGAACCCAAAGCGGGTGACAGCTTTTTCTGAATGATGGGGTTGAGGAATCCTAGTTTTCAAGTGTCTTTCAGAGATCAGTGTTGGCCTCAACCATTTCTGATACTCAAGTAGACCGACCATGGGGAGTCATTGCTATATCCAGCCTTCTGTCTTCATCGGGTTAAGTAATGGAGATGTTTTCCTCTGAGGCAGAGAAATTCATGTTATTTGGGGGTTTTTTTATAGCTTCTTACCTGAGGCCGTGTTTATTGTCTGATCCTTCTGTGTAAGCGCCGCTTTCAAGCTTGACTAAATCCTGCCTTCATATCTCACTCTGATAAAAGCATATAATGGATTTTAAACTAGGGAATCACATTGAAATCCATCAACAACTTCTTTTCCTGTTGGCCTAGAATCTGTTCCCTATTGTGTGTGTTTGCCGGGGGAAGGTGCTTTTTTCCCATAAAATGTATTTATCATATAAATGATGTATTTAATGTATTGCATATTTCAAGATCACCCGTACACCCTCCCCACTAATTCCTGTCCTGAATTTTGAATTATTCACTTTCTTGCTTTTCTTTATAAATCTATCACTGTTAGAGATCTTGTTTGGGGGCCCCCCTCTGATAAAGTTCAGAGGTTAATCCTGGCTCTGCACTCAGGAATTCCTCCTGGTGGTGCTCAGGAGACCATGGGGGATGCTGGAGATTTAACCCTAGTAGACCACATGCAAGGCAAGTGCCCTACCCGCTTTAATATCTCTCCAGCCCCCTGCCAGAGGTTTGGGTTGGGTTTTTTTTTTGGGGGGGGAGGGGAGGCAGGGGGTTGGGCCATACCTGACAATGCTCAGGACTTACTTCTGGCTCTTTACTCAGGAATTGTTCCTGACTGTGTTTGTAGGACCAAATGGGATGCTGGGAATTGAACCACTTGGAAGGCAAAAGCCTAACCCACTGTACTATTGCTCTGGCCCCTGCTAGAGTTGTGTGTGTGTGTGTGTGTGTGTGTGTGTGTGTGTCTTTTTTAATGCTTTAATCATATGTTTATATTAGTGGATAGATTATCCAGACAGAAAATTAATAAAGAGGTATAGGCCTTCAATGGGCTGAAACAATAGCACAGCGGGTAGGGCGTTTACCTTGCATGAGGTCTACCCGGGTTCGATTCCTCCATCCCTCTTGGAGAGCCCGGCAAGCTACCAAGAATATCCCATCCTGGCAAGCTCCCCGTGGCATATTCAGTATGCCAAAAACAATAACAACAAGTTTCACAATGGAGACATTACTGGTGCCTGCTCCAGCAAATCGATGAACAATGAGTGGACAGTGCTAAAGTGCCACAGGCCTTAAATAGCTTTTAAGATCAGTGGGTTTAGCAGGTATATATTTAGAACACTTCATTCCAAAACAAGAGAATATTACATTATCCTCCAGTTCTAATGAAACATTCTCAATATTGGATTATTTGATAAGCTGCAAACAATTAACAAATTTAAGAATTTTGAAATATTTTAAAGATTCTTTTCTCACCACAATGGCATAAATTAAAAAATAAGAAGAAAATTGGAAAATTAAAAAATATGTGGAGACTAAGTAAATGAACAACCAATGGGTTAGTAAAGAAATGGATAAGGAAGGAAGGAAGGAAGGAAGGAAGGAAGGAAGGAAGGAAGGAAGGAAGGAAGGAAGGAAGGAGGGAGGGAGGGAGGAAGGGAGGAAGGAAGGAAGGAAGGAAGGAAGGAAGGAAGGAAGGAAGGAAGGAAGGGAACCATGAGACAAATATACCATGAGATAATATACCAGGAGACCTGAGAACAATGGGAGGACGTGATTGTGATATGCCGTGACTGCGGTTCTAGGCAGTGCCTTAGTGAGCAATCCAAAACCTGCATCCTGGCAAACACGTCTTGTGCTGAATTGCTGGATGTGTGTATACACCCCTTTCCTGAGCTCTGTCCATCTGATTCCTTGTGGGTCAGGCAACGACCCTCCCGAGTAACAGGGAGAGGGTCCCCATAGCTCTGCCACTGCATTTAGTGTTACCCATCTTTGGAAGCTTTGCAAACTGGTGGTTATGTAATGGTTCACTTTGTGAACTGACTTTGAATGAAAAGACACTGCTTCCTCATGAAGGTTAGTGCGTGTTTTCATGTTTCCGAGCCTTTCTGCTCCCTCTTCCATTAAATCCTTATTTGTGTCCTCTGTTTCATCTGGATTGTTTAGTTTTTAGTGATACGTATGAATTCTTCGACTAGTCAGAATATTAATCCTCATGCAGCTTTATGTATTGTATTTTCCTCCAGCTGTTAGCTTGCCTTACAGTGTCTTCTGATCAACAGAACCTCTTAATTTAATGTAGTAAATTTTAATCATATTTTCCTTTATGGCTATTGCTTTTAATGTCTCAGTTCCATTAATGGAGCAATCCATCCATTTTCCCACTGATCCGAAGTGCCTCTTCATCATAAATCAACTTCTCATTTATACACAAGGGCCTATTTATAGGGTCTTTACTTCTTTCCCTGGTCCATTTGCTCTTTGCTATGCTGGTAATTTGCCGGCTTTTTAATTTTAATTTTACCAGTTTTAATATCTCGTGAGAGAGAGAAGCTTCTCCTGCATAGTTCTTGTTCTTTAGGAGTGTCTTGGCTGTATTGGACCTTTGTTCTTCCATAAAAATTTCAGACTCAACTCATCAAATTCCAGAAAATGATCTGTTGGGAATCTAACTGAAATTGCATTAAATCTACCCATTTATGAATATTCTTCTCACATTTCTTGCAGCTCTGACATTAATGTATGAAATCATTTTCCTTTTGTCAGACATGTTTTTTAATGACGGTCCATCAGTTAGTTATCATTTTGTTAAAACAATGTTTGTTTAACCTCATTTCTTAGAGTTTGCAGATCAGTACCTTGGGGTGGGGCGTTGTGGGGGAGGGGAGATAGCCACATCCAGCAGTGCTCCGGGGCTACTCTTGGCTCTGTGCTGAGGGGCCATTCCTGGCAGTGCTCATGGGTCCATAGACGGTGTGGGGATAGAACCAAGATCAGTTACCTGCGAGAACCCCTGTACTACATTTCTCATGCCTTCCATAATCTGTTTAAAACTATTTAAAAATATGTGAGTTTTTAAAAATATTTTTTCTTTAGGAAAATAATTTGGGCTTTCTTATCTGCTGTACAGTCAGGAACTTAACTTCCTGGAATTATTTTCAGTTGTCTTTTTTTTTTTCTTGTAATATAATGACTTTTGGAATATTTTTTTGATTTTGTTTTGTTTTGGGTCACTCCCACTGGTGCTCAGGGGTTTCTTCTGGGTCTGCATTCAGAGATCACTCCTGGGGGCGGGGGGGCTTGGAGGCTCATAGGTGGTGCAGGGGACCAAACCCAAGTCAACTGCATGTAAGGCAAGTGCTCTACCTGCTGTCCTACCTCTCCGGCCCCTAGAATATTTTCTTAACTGCAAAGAAGAAAGGACAGACTAGGGAAGATGTGGAGAAGTGACAAGTTATGTCCCTGCCCAGAGAAACCATATTTAATACTTTTTTAATTTCTGGTGGTGGAGGTAGGGTTGGGGCCTCTCCTCTCCTCTCTTTGCAAGGCAAGCACTTTGCCCACTGCCCTATCTCTTTGGCCCTGGAAGATTAAAAATAATAACCAAAATGTATCTTTTCCCTGTATAAACAAAGAGATCGCCTATCTGCACCCCCCCTCCATCCTTCTCCTCCACCTCTCCAGTTTTTTTTTTTTTTGATAGTTTCAGGAAGACTTTTGCCATCTCTCCATGTTTCTGTTCGACTCCTTTTTTTTTTTTGCTTTTTGGGTCACACCCGGCAATGCACAGGGGTTACTCCTGGCTCTGTACTCAGGATTTACTTCTGGCGGTGCTCAGGGGACCATATGGGATGCTGGGAATCGAACCCGGGTCAGCCGCGTGCAAGGCAAACGTCCTACCCACTGTGCAGTTGCTCCAGCCTCTCGACTCATTTTTAGCGTTACATGTATCACATAAATATCTCTTGCTTTTTGACTTTATCATTTATCTTGGTTATCTGTTCACATCAGCATGGACAAATCACCTATCCTTTTATTCTATTTTCTTTTTTTAATTGAATCCAGTAAGATACACATTTACAAATTTTTTTCATGATCAGGTTTCAGTAATATAATGCTCCAACACCCTTTCCTTCACCAGTCTACCTTTCCCATCACCAGTGTCCCCAGTCTTCCAGCCTCCCTCCCCCCCGCCCCCACTGCCTGCCTCTATGGCAAGCACTTTTCTTCTCGCCCTCCCTCAACCCCGCTTCGGGTATTATGATTTGCAATACAGATACTGAAAGGTATATCACCCATTCTTTTAAAATCTACACATGCTGTTCGCCACTGGAAATAACAGTTTACTTAAGCTATCATCTATTTTTCCAATTGCTATTAAAAAAATAAAATACTGACTGTGCACGTTGTAGTTTAGGGGTACTTGGGGGATGGGAGGGCAGAGAGGGAGGAACGGGTGGTTGGAAGTATCTGCAGGGTCAAATCTGTCTACTGGGGAATATTCGGATAAAGATACACATTTTTAATTTTTTGAGATGAAAGTATATTACTTTGGAGCCAGGGAGATAAGGTGCTTGCTTTGCATGTATCTTAACCAGCTGACCCCAGTTCAATTCCTGGTGTGCCTGTGGTCCCCCAGGCACTGCCAGGAGTGACCCTGAAGCACAAGTCAGGAACATATAGTTCCTGAGCACCATTGAATATGTTCCCTCACTTTTAAGTGGCCAGTGTGGCTCTGCTGTGTGTGCCTTGCACGTATGAGTCCCTGGATTCAGTTCGCAGCACCGCAGAGAAAGCAAATACACACATAGGTAGATGCCATGACAGATGCACAGAGACATGTATTACCTGACCTGACCTACTGCATTGCAAAGCAGGCACGCTGCCCTTTGAACTGTCATCCCAGC